CATTCTTTAATTTTTATCATTGGTAAGTATTTTTATCTCGTATTTTTGTTTTTGATCGTCATGTCCTCCAACATGTTGACAGTATGACGTCATGCTCTAGTATAGATAATTAGTTTCTCGATCAATCCATTCTTTAATTTTTATCATTGGTAATTATTTTTATCTCGTATTTTTGTTTTTGATCGTCGTGTCCTCCAACATGTTGACAGTATAAATTTATCCTCTGTTCTCCAAATACTCTAGGATAGATAAGACATTTACCAGAACAAAACGTTTTTTAGTTTCTTGATTTCCGAAGAGACTTTTTCACATAGTTCCTTAGGCAAAGAGAGGAGGCTGTCTAAGCGCGAAAAGTATGGTTTGTCAGAACGAAAATTTCTTATTAAGTCCCTAAAATAATTTTCATTCATACAGTCCTTTGACTAAACGTTGTCGTTTGATCGGTTTCATATCTACGCGCCTAGACCGAAAAGGATCATGGGGATAATTGATTCACAGTTACTAGCTGCCGCATACATGTTATCTAACACGTCTTGAGCTCGCTTTTTTCGATCCCATTTAATTTGCTGAAACCATGCCTCGAGCATACGGCGAAGATTTAAACTGGCGAGCAGTTTGGATTACGCAAGTTCTGGGTAATTTACCCGTGATCCTTTTCGGTCTAGACGCGTAGAGATGATCCGATCAACGACAAGGTTTAGTCACTTTCGAATGAAATTAATGTTTAAACTTGCATATGTACTTTCGGTTTAACTGGGAGACTTCCGTCGCAAAGGACATATGTTTAGTACATGTTTAGACAGTGTGCAAGAGAGTACTGCTGTGAACGTTTTAGTGGAAACTTCATGGGCTTTTCTTATCTGAATTTCTATCAATAACGACATAAGCCACTGCAGTCTCGATAGCATTTTAATATGTCCCAGCCCATTAAAAGTATCTCAGTGTGATTTATCACAACTAAATTGGTAAATAAATAGTTTACTAAGAAAGAAGTATGATTCATTCTATCAAAAACTAGAAGTAGTCAGTAAGTAAAACAGAGGATTACAAAAGATTAGTTTAAGGACTCCTTTCTAATACTTTTTATGCCTTTAGTGTGTTATTTGCGAGTTTCCCTGTCTTCTCTCTTTGGCTATATGTTTTTTTATATACAGCCAAGAAAGACACTGATATTGAATATTAATCCTCCGTTTGGATTGTCTAAATAAACCATAAAGCCACCTTCGAGAAAAAGATTCTTGTCTGTGAATTCACATTTTAAAATATTGGCATCGTTTGATAAGAGGATTCAAAACAATCTAAATTAGAATTAGAGTTAAAAACGATAGCTACCTGAACAATATTTGATTACCAGCTCTGCAGTCGTCCGGCTTGGTTACTTCTTGTTCTCGTTTACCTTCCTTTCGGTTACACTACAATTCCTGGTAAGTTGAGGTTCATTTTTTCTTTCTCTATTTTGTATTTACTCTCTACTGGAAAAAAAATGAAGGAAAAAAAAAAGAAAGAAATTAGATTGTAATTGAATTTTTTTTAGCAAAATATCATAAACTACGACTTCAGCAAAAAATAAAAGGGAAAAAAAACAAGGTTTCTTCAAAGAGAAAATGACGATTTTAGCTAGAATCTGAAAAGATTTAGAAAATGAAATATTTTTAATAGAGTTCTTCATTACATGAAAACAAGGTGAAGTGAAACTCCAAAAAGTAGCTATAAAACTTGCTGTCAAAAATTGTTACGAGCGTTTTATATCATTTTTAGGTAAAAAGTTGACATTTTTGAAGAAAATCGAAGCAAACGTTGATCCAAGTTTCCCTGATCTTGTTTGCTTTCATGAAATAATAATGGTTTCCCTTCCAAAACCAGGTACAGTCTATCATATTCAAAAGCTAGAAATCTTTCGCTCTTTAATTTTTAAGAACATATTTTATAGCTTTTAAAAAATGCGTTTTCGTACCCAGACCCTCTCAACAAAGCATTTTTTGCTAGAAATATGAAGGGCCTAGGTACGAGAAGACGGTGTTCGTGAAAAAGCTGAACTCGGAGAGATAACAGTCGTTTGTTTGCTGCGCTACTAAATATATTTGTATCTAGTGAATAAAGATTATATTGCTATTATAATAATACACTCAACAAAATTACTCGATTGTAATTGGACAAGAGGAGTACAATTAATCCCAAATTGTACTCTATAGAGTCCCAATTAATTTGCTCAATTTTGTTGGGCGTATTATAACCAAAAAATCGCACGAATCTTCTCCTACAATTCGGAATACTCATGATGTTTTGAAAGTTTTCAAAATGGACTCGCCTAAACGCTCATCCAATTTTGAAAATTTTCAAAGCATCACTTGTACCTATGAATTCCGAATTGTACTCGAGATCGTGCGATTTCATATAATTATTATACTCCAGGTCCCAGTTGCATAAAGCTGTCTTAAGATAAAAAGCTTAAAAACACTCGTAAGTATTGTCTTAGTACAATGGCCTATTGTTTTGGAACAATACTTACGGATGCTCTTAAGAGAGCTTTATGCAACCGGGCCCAGGAGATCTGAGAAAAATGTTATCCAATAATAGAGAGAATTTTCGACATTTTTTCTCTTTAAATTATGGATTTCCAAAAATTGAACATTGATAACAGTTAGACTATAATTAATGAGATTTATATTTGCGGCATCTCATTTATTTTTCGCTGGTCAATTTTCACAGACTTCATGACACCTCAGGTTGACACTGACGTCATTCCTACGTCACAGCTGGCTGCTTCTCGCCGCAAAGTAAATGGCTCATTTTAATTGATTGGTTATTAACATTGATAACAGTTAGACTATAATTAATGAGGTTTATATTTGCGGCATGTCATTTATTTTTCACTAGTCAATTCAGTTTCGCAGACTTCATGACACCTCAGGTTTACAGTGACGTCTTTCCTACGTCACTAATCCAGATCAGCTGGCTGCTTCTCGCTTCAGAGTAAATGGCTCTTCTTAATTGATTAGTTATTGATATTTATTAATATTTATACTTGTCTCGGAAAAGGACCATTAGACTACTTTTTGTCGCTACTTATCGTATCCTACATCCTTGTTAAGTATTATGTTTAAGTAGTTTTTTTGTCGCACTTTACTTTTTCAATCCGCTTTTAAATAATCTTACTTCCCTCAAACGTTCACAAGATGTTAAGCTTGGATGAAGGTTTTGAACAACGTTCTATTTATGCTAATTACCGTTTCCATAGCAATGACAGACAAACGTTTAGGGGCTATTTGCGACAAACGAACAAATGCGCTGTAATCTGACACAGTGTAGCGAATTCATCGGTTTGATTTTGAATAAATCGCTGAAACATTTGAAAACATGAGTTTTTTTTAATTAGGCGGTGAATACATTCCATCATTACTCCCTGAAAATAACTCCTCTTCTGCGATAAAAAGATCAAGCTTTTCAAGACAGCCTCAGCAATAAGGTTGTTTTGGGGTTCCACAAAAGGGAGATAAGTTCATTATCAATGTGTTAATCGTTTAATTCGAAAAACATACTAAAAGACATCTTAATGTTTTTCACATAAGAGCTGTATGCCGGTTGTCATGTTTGGATCACACTAAAAACTAACAAGTTTTGACACGGGAAAACGTGTCAAATGTGCTGGGCACATTGGATACTTTGAATAGAGTAGAAGACTATTAGGGATTTAGTCATTGTAAGACAAAAGAAAGTCCGTGGATTCGGTTTGAATTTTTTTTTTTACGGTCAAATTGAACCAGAATAAACGAGTCTTGGTCGCAAACCCCAAAGCAAGCCTCCGTCTCTCTGAGAACCAGTGTTATGGTGTCTCCATCGGCTCAAAAACACCACACAAAACATTATTGAACAGAAGATTCTCCACTGATCTACAGAAAAAGTTTGGCCTCGAAAATTTACCTCAGAATACCCTGCGAGCAGAGTCTCCTTTACCTTCCCCCGAGTGAGAGAAAGGAAAGAAGACTCTTTCCGAAGTAGAAGTATCGAAGTAGAATTGCTCAAGGTTAGCAGAATTTTGTGAAAAGTATAAAGCACAAGAGACATGAATGAAACAATAAACGTTTTTAGCATGAATGAGAGATAAAGAAAGCGATTGCGAAAGTAGCAGCCTTGTCGTTTTTCTGTTCTGTCAAAAGAGAAAGGGTTAGGGTAGATTTGACAGATCTCCCTTTACACTTAACAAGAGAAAATGTAATTGAATTTCATAGCCATGATAACCATGACTGACCATTGTTAAATTAGCAATACCGATATTAATATCATTAATGATGTACTAAGCTTTGTAATAAGAAAATCAAGTCCCATTCAATTCTAACATTGGCGACGGTATCGAATAAAGAGCTATTTCAATCACTTGCTCGAGACAGAAGAAGGAAGCTGTCAAAGTACTTTTGCACAGTGCACGACAGATATCGCTTTCACTTTTTTTAGGATAACGAGGAAAAAAACTGAAGACAGGGAAAAAGACTTAGAAAAAAATGTGAATACGGAGGAGAATCGAGGCGAGATGAAAAAGGAACAAATAAGAAGCTATTTCAATGTAGTTACTTTGATTGCTCGAGGCAGAGGAAGGAAGCTCGCAATGTACTTTGACGATTGTAACGAGATATCGCTTACAGTTCTTTAGGATAACGAGGAAAAATACTGCGTGAATTTAGATTGTTCGAATACTAATGGGCGAATGGAGGTGAGAAAAACATGTAAAAGAACATGTTTGATACTTTTAAAGGATTCTTTCAGGAACCTTTGTACAAGGAATCAAAATACGGTGACCAATTTGAATAACTATTAATAATAATAATAACAATAATAATTTAATGAATTTTTATAGCGTTATATATTACACTCTATAACGCTTTACGATGAACTTTTAAACATAAAATATAGAAATATATACACCTACTTGAAAGAACGTTGTCATACGAAAATAGAACATTACTGATTTAGTGGGATAGGAATTATATTAAAAAACAAAAGAAGATCACTGAAGCTGAACTTTTTCTTTTGTCTTTTAATGTATTCCTTTCTCACTAAATTACGAATGTTCTAACATTGTATGGCAACGTTCTTACAAGTAGGTGTATATATTGTTGTTATATATATAACTATTGTTCTCTTTCCTTCTTTTTCTCTTCTAGTCCTCCCTCCTCTCTTTTCTTCCTGCTCTGTTCTCTTTTATTCTTATCTTTTAATATTTGTTGCGTCTATTTTTTGCGCAGGATAAAAGAAGAATGCGTGTTTAAAAGCATGCACACCAAATATTTTTTTCTGACTTAAGGGTCGATCTCTTATTGAGATAAGGTATATTAAGGTATACACCTATTTCAAAAAAAACGTCGGTCGGAGTTCTCAAATGATCTGAATCCGAGTGCAATTGTAGGGATTTAGTGAATCCTCGTTAAAAAATCAAAATACACTTAGCTAGACAACTCGTTGGCGCAGGTTATCGCTAAAAGTAGGCATATTCATATATAGCTTGTTGCAAAGTACTAAATAAAATCACAAAACAATTACCCGCTTACAAAGGGGGAAGGGAGAGGGGAGGGAGAAAGTAGAAGAGGAAATGGCTACTCCTCTCGCTTTTTCTCTCCCTCCCTCATCCCCACTCCTCCTCCTCTATCGTTCCTAGTTCTTCTCTGCCATAAAATTTAACA